TAGTTGATGCAAAACCAGTTACTTTTCGACACTCAAGTGAAAAGCACTCTAGATGGCTGTCCAGTGAGGTAATTGTGTTATGTTTTATGTGTTTACACAGGAGACCACTGAAACAGCGCCTTCAGAGGACCAGGCAGATTATGCAGAGACTTTCTCCTTTTCTGATTCTGAGACAGTGGCCAGCAGTCACGATGGAAGAGCAGGCCCAGATGACTCGTCCAGTGATGTGGAACATGCTGATAGTGGAAAAGGAATTCACTCAAAACACAAAGGTGAAGTGCCTTTATTATTTGGCTTGCTCCTCAAGCGGCGAAGGTTAAACCAATTCTTGCGTTATGATTAGTACAAAGCGTGCAAGATATCTGGCTATCTTGCCCGTTCAACATGGGCGTCAGTTCCTGCAAAAAAAGGTGTTTTATAAGAGAACCCCGATAAACAGCGAAGTCAACCATATTTGGTTAGAGGCGGGCGCCTAACATCCATGAAAAAACACGCAAAGAGAACTTGATCAACTGTAACACTCGTGTTGACCTCTCGCTTAGTCAATAACCCATTTATATTATGTCTCAAACAGTAAAAACACGTGACTGTTCAATTTTACGGGCGTTTCCCGCACGCCCTGACGTGTAATGCTTTCTTGTCTCAAGAGCGAGAGATACAATAAAAACATCTTATTAACCTCATTTGCTCGCTCGTACTGTACGATACAGACCCGTTTTTTTCCTGTCAATTTTTGACCCATGGGTTAGTCGACTGGAAAAAAACTCGGTCCGTACCTTACCGCACAGACTCGGTAATGGAAAGTCTGTAAGATATACAGTGGTATTGCTGTGTTTTTCATCATAAGCCAGGTCTAATGCAGGTGCAGTTAGTAATTAAATCATTTTGCCCGTCTAGTCTCTTTTCAGGGAATTTCGCAGCCGGAGAATCAAGAGGTTTGCCATAGTTATGGCTTTTCTATTCCACTGAGCGAATTAGCAAAGATTTCTGCTGAAAGCCAGGTAAGCCATACTCTTGTTAAGTGCTTACTCTTAA